GGCTTGGACTTTAGTGGCAGTCCAGTTGAACTGGAACTTGTTTTTCATTGCGTTCTCATCCTGCCTCTCACACTTTGAGTGTCTGGCCCTGCCTTTTTTCCTCGTTGTGCAAGCTTGTTTCGCATTTTTTCATAGTCCAAGTCTCCACCGGATTTTTAATCACAGCCTTTTCGCATTAGCATATGTACAGAAAAGTTTTAATCGATCCGACGTTTTATCCACTTACCGTATTTTTCAACCAGATGAAACAGCACGTTACGATGATTGTTTGCGAAAAAACGGCTTTCAAGTGGGGGGTCACCCGGTATCCGAGGTGTTTTGACCACCTGTGAACCTGTCGCTTTTTGCCTGCACTTGTGATTCTGACCTGGAGTCAGTACCGGATGTGCACCAAATTCGAGATTGTGTATCCGCGGGATCTGCCCGTCTCAGAATGAGTGGACTCAAAAACCCGGGCTCATCTAATTCGAATAATCCGTTGAAAGACGCACTGTTGAATATCTTCAACCTGACATATGTCAGATTAGAGATTACGTCTCTGCGGGATCACTCCGACTCAGAATGAGGGGATTGAAAAGCCCGGCTCATTTAATTCAAAAATACACGTATCCGACCAGTTTGATTTCCAGTAGCTTGACGCAGCTGGGCGTCTTCTATGTACAGAAAAGGTTTTTCCAAACCTGACGTCGATCAAGCACTTAACCAGCGCAAGTAAATATTGCTGCTGTCCGTTTCGCCCCCGATATCTTCATGGACTTGCAATTTTGTCATTACATTTCTTGCCTCTATGTTGGCTCATTTTTGTAATGCCTTCCTGATTCGTTTCTCAGACTTTCGCCATGAAATCACTTTGGAGTTTGCGGGACCAGTTTTTTCAAGATCACCGTTGCTGAAAGCAACGGATGCTATGTTTTGGCGACATACGGCCTTTGTGTGTGGGGGCAACCCCTGTTCCGAAGGGCTTTCTTCACATTTCCAATTTTTAGTTTCAGTTCCCAATTTACAGGCAGGGGTCACTCCGACTCAGAATGAGTGGATTGAAAAAGCCGGGCTCATTTAATTCGAAAATACACGTATCCGACCAGTTTAATTTCCAGTAGCTTGACGCAGCTGGGCGCCTTATATGTACAGAAAGGTTTTTTCCCAACCTGACGTCGATCAAGCACCCAACCAGCGCAAGTAAGTATTGTTGCTGTCCGTTTTGTCCCGATATCTTCATGGACGTGCATTTTTGTCATTGCATTTTTCTCATTACATTTCTTGCCTCTATGTGGGCTCATTTTTGTAATGTCTTCCTGATTCGTTTCTCAGACTTTCGCCATGGAATCATTTTGAAGTTCGCGGGAACAGTTTTTTCAAGATCACAGTTGCTGAAAGCAACGGGTGATATATTTTCGCGACATACGGCCTTTGTGTGTGGGGGCAACCCCTGTTCCGAAGGGCTTTTATCACATGTCTAATTTTTAGTTACAGTTCCCAATTTACAAGCAGGGGCACACGGCATCCTTGACCCACCGTGTGCAACGAAGCTACGGTCTTGGATGGGATATCAGGGCTGATCACCCTGACGTACCTGCAGTTGGTCATGATGTTTTCTCATTATTCAAGCTTGTTGATGCATTTTCGGTTAGTCTTTTGTCATATGCATGAATAATTCGAGAAATCGGAGTCCGTTACGCATTTTTCAGTTTTTTCAGTTTTTTACCAATTTCTGCGACTTTTGTCCAAAGTGGACAAAGACGGCCTTTCTGAACTCAGTTCAGATACCCTATCGGGAATCAAAAGACTCATAGACGAGATACAGTCTTTCAAGTGTGTGTGTTAAAAGTGTCTCTGTGTGTGTTAAAAGTGTCTCTGTGTGTGTGTGTTAAAAGTGTCTCTGTGTGTGTTAAAAGTGTCTCTGTGTGTGTGTGTTAAAAGTGTAAGTGTGTGTGTATGTTTGTGTGTGTGTGCAAGAGCCCTGGAACTCCTAAGGAAACATGCTGCCAAGAAGCATCAATTGTGTGGAGCCACACTGATGTCATCCCAGCGAAGGATTTCCCAATCCAGCCCATGGTCACCACAGAGATTGAGCATGGGGTCATCCTCCCCTAAACCAAAAATGCCTCTGCTCCTTCAGCCGCACCAGCAACCTCATCAGCTTGACCTTCTGTTTTTGGAAGGGGCACCAGCACTGATCCAAATAGCTTGAATTGGAACTTCCTTCTGCCTTCTCTCCCTTCCTTCTGCTCTCTTTTTGGGGCTGCTTTGAATCATTAAATTATATGATAGAATACGACAATATATGATAAATTATTGGCTAATATGCACTCAAAACATCAGCCAAGGATTTATCAAAAGACATGATAGATATGACAAATTCGTGGCTGGATCAGCCGCTTTGATGATCTTTCACATTAAAAAAATGGCTCATCCAAGATCAACGTATGTGAACATTCATCTTACCCTCCGGTAAATCAACATAGACCCTGGCAGATAGGGGTTGGAAGACTGGTTTCCACTAAAAATGGTTTATTTTCAGGGTCCAACTGTTAATTTTCCAGAGGGTAACTATATAGTTGGTTTGTTATATCTTCCATAAACCCTAGTTATACCACAACGTGGGCCCCCCCAATTATGTTTAATTATTGGTTTTTAACCCCCATGAATACTATTTGAAAAGGTAACTATTCTGAAAATTCTCATTTGAAAGGATCAAATCATTCCAACTCATGTTGAGATATCATCCCCAAGAAGATGAGGCATCTTCTTGCGAAAAAAAACACCGAGCGACAGGATGGCAAAAAAACAAGCCATCAACCATTAGAAGAACACCCCAAAAGATAGAAACACAATTTGTCACTATTTTGGTTGGGTTTTACCCTGCTATCTTTTTTGGCCTTTCTTTTTTTGTTATGAGAATTCCCGATAGTCCACAAACTAAAAAAAATCGACCTACCATCATTTATCAGTTCTATTCCCTTGGTCTTGATGCTTCAAACTTCTATAAATAATTGTTACTATTACATCCCCATATAACCTCTGGTAAAATAACATAGCTATTGAACATTGCAATTTTTTGTTGATTTACCCATTAAGAATGGTGATGTTCCATAGTCACGTTAGTTTACCAAAGGGTAGATGATTTCGCATCAAAGTTGGGACTTTGCGGTGCTAGATTTATTTGATTCGTTGGGGTTCTCATGGTCAACCAATGTGAAAACCACCTTGTAAAGTAACCGTTTGCTATAGAATATTGCCATTTTGAATAGGTAAATCAATGGGGGAAGTGGTGGAAGAATGGGGACCAACAGATGGGGGATGAGAATAGATTTACCCTCTGGTAAACTAACATAACTATGGAAATCACAATGTTCAATGGGTAAATCCACTATAAATCGCCATTTTCAATAGCTATGTAAGAAATTACCAGAGGGTAACCACCTTGTAAATGATTAACCCCCATCAACCAGCCTTAATTGATCAACCAATTAAGGGGGTTCGGACGCTGATGCCATACCTATCCAGGTTGGTTCTATCTCCATCACACACAGCGTATTGGTGAAATCAGCCCACCACCCGGTTTTGGGGAAGTGCAAACTCAGACATGATACCCTCTGGTAATTTAACATAGCTGTTGAAAATGACCATTTATAGTGGATTTTCCCATAAACAATGGTGATTTTCCATAGCTATGTTAATTTACCAGAGGATAATTATGAACCCAACACTATTTATGTCTGGATTATTTCCTATTGGGTATTGGGTATATTATTCTACCTATTAAAAGCATCACCCAGACATGGTAATTGTGAAAGATTCATAACTATTCACGGTTGTTTTGCATCTTGATGGAACGATATTATGTCACATGAAAATCCCATGGAACTCGTCATGTACAGAATAGTTTCCCATTAAATTATCATTAAAATCAACAGTTACATGGTATGTTCCCAATAGAGTTGCCAAAACCATGCCCTCAAGATTGCTTCGAATCCCTATTTATACATATCAATTTACAGATCATTTCCCATTCAAACCCATAAAAATCTCATTAACACCCCATTCAAACCCATACAATCCCCCCAAACAAAACCATTGAAATCCCCAACAACTACCGGATGGTGAGCCCCCAATTAGAAGTTGGTTTATAAACCCCATCAACTAGTTCGTTATACCTACCATAAACATTGGAATTCAGCCACTTTGCATCTCAACTGAACGCTATCTTGGGGGCCCCATCCCGTAGTTGTGGGTGCTTATCTAATTATTAATAAGCCAGTGACATAATATGGGATGATTACATAACTAGAATACTGATAATAGGATGTGGCTTAATGATGGTAAAACAATCATAAACCATCCCCAAAATCATTTAATAAATGGTATCAACCATCCAAAGAACGGGGTGGTTTATTATTGTTTTACCCACATTATTCTACTAGTCATGATTTATGGATGATTATACTATTAATATCCGCTATCAAATTATTAATATCCATGATCACTTTTCTTTTGAGGATTATAAGAGGATTAAGTGATCTATCTATTAATAATAAAAGAGATTGATAATCTATAATATAGATAATTTCCATTATTAATATCCACGATCACTTTTCTATCTATTGAGGAAATTATCTATCTATTGTGGATTGACATGGAATATATCTATCTAAAAAAAGCGCCTTGGCGGATTTTGGGTGATGGAAGGATGATTTATCCATTAATACCCCCATGAAAATTCCATTAAATCAATGGCCATGCAACAGGAACCGAGAGGTACCTACCATATATCAGGCCTATGTTTAAGGCCTAAATTTCAGGGAATATCCCCAGAAAATATGCCCAAAAATATGGTACGTTTACGTACCTCCATTTTAGGATCCTGAAATTCCCATCACCTTTCATAACTCCATAAATGAACATAGGGACTGTATGTATATTTATATGACAAATCCATAGGGATTATATGTACATGACAAACCCATGAAAAAAATGGCTCACCGCTGTCCCACCGTGACCTCCACCATCTTCTCGCGCTTGGCGGTGGGATTGTAGGGCGGCTCCGTCAGCAGCACCGGGTAACGCTGCTGATCCACCTTCGTCTCTGCGCGGCGGTTTTCCACCGGGGAAGACGTGGTGAAAACGTGGCAAAATGTGGAAACAGGGCAAAACAACATGATACACTGGAGAAAATCGTGGATTTAATGAGGTAACTGGGATTCTAAAGCAGGAAGCTGGGGAAATCGTCATGAACGAATTGAAGTTTATGGCGCTTTTATGATGAAAGATTGGATTCCAAATCGGCAAAACGATGTCGAATCTGATTGGTTGGGGAAGCACCGTAAACAAATGGGGGATAAAACTGACTTTCACTGTTCCAAAATCAATTAATTAAGTTGAAAAACATGGGAAACATGGTGGCAACAAAACTTACATTCTATGATATTTTGTGGTTTGTCGCTCCCCAGCTAAAAATAACTTCTAGTGGGTAGACGCATCTAACAACCCCAAACATGAAAAATCCAAGAGCATGGCGACAACAGAGCCACAATCCCTATTCCCAAAACAGGAAGAAACAGAAACAAACCATTTTGGGCATATTGATTACCATCTGGTTATTTAACATAGCCATGGAACATGGCCCATAGAAAAAGATGATTTTCCCAGCTAGAAACGTCCATTTCTAAGGGATTTTCCATGGCTATGTTAAATAACCAGATGGTATTCCCGCTGTCATTTGCAGTGAAACCAGCCGAGGTCACAACATAAAACTTTCACATCCAGAATCATCAGCTGCACTGGTGGAGCCCAAGGCATGTCGGAGATCTTGGAGCGTGGAGCGTAGGGCCACTCGCAAGGTGGTGGTATAGGTCGCACACCCAGCTTCTCGCATTCATGGTATGCCAGAAGCCCCGATGGAACAGTTTGGGTGTCACAGGTGGAAGTTCTTTAGACCCCAAAAGGGTCAGGATGATTTGTGATCAATCCCAAGCCAGAGTTAAGCCTGAGGCCACTTGTGGAACCGTGTCAAGTCCCCAAAAAGTATCCGACTTATCACCTTTTTTTGTGTGGTTTAAGTGTCTTCCATAGAAGATTATATCAATCATCCAATCAACCAGTATTGAGCATCATTATAACTAGGTTTATGTTCAACCACAAAAACAAGATTTTAAATCTGCAATTAGTTCCTATTTATTTCAACTTTTTCTCAAAGATAAAAGATCTTCCCAAAAAAGGTTCCAAATAACATATTTAACACATCCCATCCCCTTAATAACAAGCAATCCCCTAAACAGGATGCCGAAATGATGGAGTGTTTCTGTTTATAATATATATTAAATGATATTATATTATATTATATTAAATCATAATATATTATATTTTATTATATTTTATTATGTTATATTTTAATATATATATATTACATTATATTATATTACATTATATTATATTCTATCTGGTTGGTGGTTTCAATCCCACTGAAAAATATGAGTTTGTCAGTCGGGATGACTATTCCCAATATATGGAAAGTCATAAAACTCATGTTCCAAACCACCAACCAGTATATATATATATTATATTGCTTTGTATGAACATAGGGTACATCTTAGATCCACTGGTTAATCATCAAATCATCCCTATGTTGAATGATTTAAAATGGCCACGTGGGTGGTAAACACCATTTTCAAACACACTCAGAGTCAGAGGGGATTACCAGCAAGCGCCAGCAATTCGACAGGTCTCCCAATTTCCGCTAGATCAGTTGGACTTACCATTTGAAAAAATACGAGAAATTCCTTAAACAAACCAAGGCTATTACCATCTATTACCTATTACTCTCTGGTAATCAAACACAGCAATTTAAATTCATGCCGATTTATACAGGTTTGGATTTTCTTACGAACACCCCAAGAAATAAAATGAACCATCTTCCCCAAAAAGATTCCCCATTTCCCCATTGGGAAAGTAACCAATCATCGACAAACGGCAAATCGCTGATGATAAGAAACCAGCAATTTCACAATTCGATCCTTTTACTATCTTTTACTTTTCAAGGCTAAACGCCCTCACAACAATCTAATATATCAATAACCCTCCATAATACCCATAATTTAATTTTACTTTTAAGATATAGATATAGATATATATATAGATATATAATGATAATTTATAACCCTCCAACAACAACGTTACAGTACTATTAATCTACCTGGATTTTTTTGCTTTGTCGATGATTTAACCGTCCCCAGCCTTCAACTTTTCTTGAAAGATGAACGTCCACATACGTTCCATGTCTTCCTTAGCGCGGCAGCTGGGGTTTCTGACTGTTTTTCGTGCTCACAACACATCTTTTAAGAAAGATTGAGTGCTTAAATATGTAGGACATACTGTTATTTGTTTTTTTGTTTGCCGGCAATCCACTCTTTCAAGCATATGTCTGTCTGCACTTGGAATAACCTGTTTTGATCTCTCCAACATCGCGCGGAAACGTCATTTCTTGCTTGGGGTCTGTTGCGCGTCTACCAAAAAAACATGCGGGCTTGAGGGCCGATTGTAATATATGGGTATGACTTCCAGGTAGATGGGATTGATTCACAAATAAATGGTCAAAAGGTGATTTAACCATTTAACGTGGGGATAATTGACGTATGAATCTGGCGTGTTCTGCTGATGTAATTTGTAAGGGACAAGGAAATCTAAAAGGTTAATCCACCAGAATTCAACCAGAATGAACATGATTTCACAACCTATACGAATGGGGTTAAACTGTGTTAAACCATTGAACCATCAAATATAAACTACATAAATGGACATAATTTAATGGTATACACATAACCCCATGCAACTATCATATTATCACGATAAACATATGGATTCCCAAATATCAAATAAAACAACCTACTAACGACTCAGTTTTCCTTTTGGGTTGATGGGTTGCTTATTCACTAAGTTGGGGGAAGGGATGATTCCCAAATTGGTCGCTTTAGTACTGAAAGCCAGGAAATTCTGCGGAACTATTGATACCGGCACCCTATGATTGAATATGATCGAACCATATAACACATATTTCGAAAACCTGAAATGCAGTCTGCCCCTAAAAGGATGAGGAATCTTGGGAAGTAGTTGCCCTACGAATTGTACCCCATAATTCAATGTCATTTGGGATGGCAAATGTCCTTTCTCCCTCCATACCTGAATTTCATATGATGATTTCCTGATTTCCTCCATTAACCACATGGCTGACATTCAATTCCCCGCCCAAAAACATATCTTCTAGCTGGGTGGTATTTACATGTATTACAAAAGACTAGACTACCAAAACACTTTATCCAAGGTTTACCTAGCAATCATAGCAATCCTCTTTGATGAGCTCCACCAGGCAGTTCCTTCCAAAAACCCACCAAAAACCTAGCTCGGGAATTCAGAAACACTTCCAAAATCCAGTGGCAAGCACAATCACATTCCCCTTCAAAATTGCTACTTATTTGAAATAAGTATCAAATTTGAAGGGGAATTTGATGGTTAACTTATTTCATGATGTAGAGCTCCAGTTTTGAAGACATGTATCGAAACCGTATTCATAGGTTGATCCCTCCTGATGAGTCCTCCAACAGGTAGGACCACTCTTTCAACTTGCTGAAGGTCAGCCAAGTGGCACAACTGTCACAGTTTGGAAAGTCAGGCCGTGACCACAGCAGTACTCGGCCAAGTTGCTGGCGTCCTCTTCAGCTTGTCTACCCTCTGGTAAACTATCATAACTATGGAAAATCACAATTTTTAATAGGTAAATCCACTATAAATGGCCATTTTCAATAGCTATGTTAAATTACCAGAGGGTACCCCTTGCAACACCAGAAAAACTCACCGATGTGGAACTCGATGTGTCCCTGAGTTGCTGTCGAAGACGAGGCGGCGCCGAGCTTGCCGTTCAGCTGGAGGGTCATCAGCTTGTGACATGTCATGATCCATCACCCCTCTATGAATCAACCAACCAATGGGAATTTGGGACATCTATGAATCTATGTGATCCATCCCCACTTCACCTGCAAGGCAAGCATCAAAGCTCTCAATCTCCCCATTCTCCATGGGGTAATTGATCGCCAACTGCCACCAGACCGTGGAGAGTCATCGCCAGTGCAACCAACATCATTTTCATGGGGATCCACATGTAATGAGACTGAATCAGCTTCAATATATGGAGGTTTCGGAAAACATTGGGGGTACCAGTCATCATCCATTTTCATGGGATTTTCCCTTATAAATCATGCAGCGATTTTGGGTAGCCCCTTTTATGGAAAGCCCCAGTCATCGGGGGATGACATCGGAGATTGGACGCCCAGGGCTTTGGGTTTTCTATTCCTCTTGATCCCCCAAGATCCCCCAATGCACGCAGCCATGGTTGATTGAAACCACATCTGCTTGGTGGTTTGAACCTACCCCCTCTGAAAAATCATGGAGTGAAAGTCAATGGGGTTGGGACTAATTATATTTAATTATCCCATATATGAAACGGAAAATCATCCAGCCATGTTTGAAACCACCAACCAGATTAACTATAGTTATAAACCATTATAAACCCACATTTCTTATGGTTGTCCTATGGGTTTCCCATCTTTTCCGGACATTGGTGATGTCAAAATGAAGAATGTTGCCATGATTTACCCTCTGGTAAACGTGTTCACAAAAAACGATGGAACATCAGCATGCTATTTATGGGTAAATCAACCATCAATGGGCCATGTTTAATAGCTTTTTCTATGTTTACCAGAGGGTAAACTTCCATTTTCCTATGGTTTTCCTATGGTTTTCCTATGGTTTTCCTATGGTTTTCCTATGGTTCAATTACCAGAGGCTAGCAGCACCAGGGATTTCATCAGGGAATGCCCCCTACGAATCGTCAGTTGGGATGATGACATTCCCAACTGAATGGACAAACATGTTCCAAACGAGCAACCAGTATTTAAATATGTATATATATATAATATGTATATATATATATATCCAGCATTTGTTGAATAGATCAGATCCTCAAGTTCTTGTGACTTGTCGACATATATCGATATTATGAACATGGTTGCCCAACAGGGTACTCAAACCAGAGGCTAAGAAATGGAATGAAGTGCAGTGACCTCCTCATTATATCCGCTTAAATGTAAGTTATTTATCTCCATGAAAAATACCTGAAAAAACCTTCATTTCCACGGGAGATGACATGATATGACTGCTTGGAATTTCGTCAATTTCATCTGGTTGGTGGTTTTCACCATCTTGACACATATTAGTCAATGGGGTAGGGATGACATCCCATAAATTATGGAAAATAAAAGCCATGTTTGAAACCAGCAACCAGTCATAGATTTTCCATGATTTTCCAACGGTTCCCCACGATCACCAGCCCACTTCACGGATCCCGCTTGATTGCCGTGCTGCCGCGCCTTGCTTTGCAGCTGCGGATTGATTTGGTCACCGAAATAGAAATCCTGGCGACAAATCTTCACCGAGGGTCACCCTACTGGGCCTGGCCCGGCATCGCGCAGTGATTTGCCATACTGAAGTGGCTGCCAGAGGAACTGGTTGGTGGTTGAGCCACCCCTCTGAAAAATGATGGAGTTCGTCAGTTGGGATGATTACCCTCTGGTAAACTAACATAGCTATTGAAAATGGCCCATTTATAGTTGATCTACCCATTAAAAATTGTTATCCGTTATCCCATTATATCCCATTATATCCCATTATATCCCATTATATCCCATTATATCCCATTATATCCCATTAAAAACACCATGAAATCCAATTAAAAAGCCATAGTTCCAGTCACCACCAAGCAGGGGTTTCTGGCATTTCTCCTGCTGGTTTCAACTTCGCCCGCAAATACATGTCGTTTCAGAATCTGACGTAGGAATGAAACGCTGTTGTTGATACTTGGCAGTGTGTCAAAACCTTGTACCCCTGGTGAACATCAAAATAGCTGGTAAATGGATGTTCATCCCACAAAAATGGTATTAATAGGTATTGATCCATACCCACTTGAATCAACCACTAAACGACTGATTGCACGAATGCCATGAGCAACCCTCCTTCAGCGGTTGACCTTTCTGCTTGCTCTTGTCCTGGAAGAAGTCTGGAAAACAGAAGGAACTAGTAAAACAACAAACAGTGTTGTCAAGCCCAGATTGATCGATCATGATGTGGATAAATTTAAGTTGATACACCAAACATGATGAATTATTGCAGGAAATACCATGAGATTGCAATACTCAATCATATAGGAGTACATCCAACCATTATGTATATTTCAGTTCCAATGTTTTTGTGGTCTGCTTGGTGGCTCCCACACACAGTCAAAAAAACTCGCCCCTAGTTTAAAGTTGATGTATAACCCCATCCGACCAAAGATATGTCGCTACATCTTCCATTACGCCCTACCTAACCTAATTGAATTGCAGACCAGTTTAGCCATGGGGCACCAATTTGTGTCATCTTTCATTTTGAGCTGGGAAGGGAAGAGGTTTTTGCTTCGAAACTCCTCTTTGTAAACTGGGGTTCCTGTACAGTTTCGAAATCAATGCGTTTGACCCAGCCCCTGGAATCAAACATGGCTTGCTGGCCACCCCCCCAGCAAACTGCTTCAATGATATGGATCCATATCGGGGATTTTCCAGCGGCCCGCCATGTTTTTTCATAACCGGAGGTATCATGGTATCATTCTGGTTCTCTTCCCATATTCATGGCTGACCTATATATTCATCAAATTTCATCAAGAAAAACGCCCCGCTTAAATCATGGAAGGCGTGGCGTGAAAAACGGGTAACTCCCAATTCCAATGGATTAGCATCATGTTCTGGTTGGTGGTTCCAACCTACCCCTCTGAAAAATATGAAAGTCAGTTGGGAATATGAAATTCCCAATATATGGGAAAATAAAACATGTTCCAAACCACCAATCAGTTACTTGTCACTGCTTTTGGTCGATCACTTGTTCATAGCAATGGGCTCGAACTAGCACTGGATCTGGTGAAATGCAGTTCTAAGGCTCCAGAGGATAGATTTTTTTCGTGCATGGCCGTGGCCGTGGCCGGGTGGCCGTGGCCGGGTGGCCGTGGCCGCGGTGGCCGTGGCCGGGCCGGGCCACGCGGGTGGCCGTGGCCGGGTGGCCGGGTGGCCGTGGCCGGGTGGCCGTGGCTGTGGCCGGGGCGATGGGGCGGATGGCCGGGTGGCCGGATGGCCGGATGGCCGGGTGGCCGGATGGCCGCCTGGCTGGGTGGGCAGGTGGGCAGGTGGGCGGGTGGGCGGGTGTGGCCGGGTGTGCCGGGTGGCCGTGGCCGTGGCCGGATGGCTGGTTGGCTGGTTGGCCGGGATTTGTGGGTGGGTGGCGGTGGGGGGGAGGAGCGTTTTTAGAAGATGATTGTAATTTGCTTACTGCTGATTTCAAACAATATCAAGCAGCGTTTTGCTGTCCCGTATGTGGCGCAAGATTGCTTGAACAAATTTACCATATATGTCTCAACCAGAAACATCGATTTGTGTGCTAATTCCTACCCACATGTATAAACTCATTCCCCTTTAAGACAACACGATCACTCCATGCAGTTCAGCAGTTAAGTTCTTGCCTCTGTTGTCAAAGCTCTATTTGACAATCGCCTTCATTATCACATGGAATAGCCACAGGAAGCCAGCAGCAGTAGCATTTCTTTCACGGGAGGAGGAGATGGATGAAGTGAACAAAAGGTGTACACCAGCAAATGACGGCGAAGACAAGCACTTGACACGAGATGCATCATGGAATAGGAAACAACTTGTTAAACAAGGTGCCGGGCATCTGAGAGGCCCGCGATTGCCGTCACTTTTCAAACATTTTCTAGGGGGGAATTGAAAAGGCTCAAAAACGAAACTTTAGTATCATCAGCAATATGAACATCATCATCATCATCACCACCATCATCAGCATACGGTGAGAACATACAGCAGCGTAGAATGACGCATGTGTAGAAGTGCAAGAGTACCTACAGCGTAGCATGACGTATGTGTGGAAGTGCAAGAGTACCTACAGCGTAGCATGACGTATGTGTGGAAGTGCAACAGAACCTACAGCGTAGCATGACGCATGTGTAGAAGTGCAAGAGTACCTACAGCGTAGCCTGACACATGTGTGGAAGTACAAAAAAAAACCTACAGCAGCGTAGCATGACGCATGTGTAGAAGCGCAAGAGTACCCACAGCGTAGCATGACACATGTGTGGAAGTGCAAGAGTACCTACAGCGTAGCATGAGGTATGTGTGGAAGTGCAAGAGTACCTACAGCGTAGCATGAGGTATGTGTGGAAGTGCAAAAGAATCTACAGCAGCGTAGTAGCATTACACATGTGTGGAAGTGCAAGAGAATCTACAGCAGCGTAGCATGACACATGTATGGTGCAAGACTACCTACAGCGTAGCATGAGGTATGTGTGGAAGCGCAAGAGAATCTACAGCAGCGTAGCATGACACATGTATGGAAGTGCAAGACTACCTACAGCGTAGCATGACGTGTGGAAGTGGAAAAGAACCTACAGCGTAGCATGACGCATGTGTAGATGTGCAAGAGAACCTACAGCGTAGCATGACGTATGTGTGGAAGCGCAAGAGAGCCTACAGCAGCGTAACATGACACCTGTGTGGAAGTGCAAGAGTACCTATAGCGTAGCATGAGGTATGTGTGGAAGTGCAAGAGAATCTACAGCAGCGTAGTAGCATGACACATGTGCAGAAGTGCAAGAGGACCTACAGCGTAACATGACACATGTGTGGAAGTGCCAGAGCACCTACAGCGTAGCATGAGGTATGTGTGGAAGTGCAAGAGAATCTACAGCAGCGTAGCATGACACATGTATGGAAGTGCAAGAGTACCTACAGCGTAGCATGACGTATGTGTGGAAGTGCAAGAGAATCTACAGCGTAGCATGACGTATGTGTGGACGTGGAAAAGAACCTACAGCGTAGCATGGCGCATGTGTAGAAGTGCAAAAGTACCTACAGCGTAGCATGACGCATGTGTGGAAGCGCAAAAGAACCTACAGCGTAGCATGACGCGTGTGTGTGGAAGTGCCAAAGAGTTTACAGAAGCGTAGCAGACGTAAGTGTGGATGTGAATGAAATGCAAGAGAGCGTACAGATATGTTGCATCACATATGTGTGGAAGTGTATATGACGTTATTATACCACCCCACCCCCTGCACCCCACCCCACCCCCCACACACAATGTTATTTTCATAGTAGAAGGCAAAATATGACAACAGTCGCGAGCCTCTCAGATGCCAGGCACCTTAAACAAGTGGCAAGAAACGATCAGAATGTCATATCACAGAAAACTTGTAAATATCATCAATAGAAATTAAAAGGGCAGATAGTCACGGTAGTTGACACCTGCTTGTGACTGTTGGATGCTCAAACTGCTTGGGCCCTGAAAACCTAAAAAGAATTTTGGCACTGTGTGCCCTGCAGAGCCAATGAAACATCTGAATAATTATTATCTCTCATCGACATCACCATCATCACCACCACCATCATCATCATCATCATCACTACCAGTAGCATTACCGTGGAAATTCAGCTGAAAGTGAAGATCTCGGAGGTGCATTCACTTGCGTTCTTTTTTTTGGGGGGGTAAAATAGCTATTGGCAGCAAAAATGAACGTTAATTCCTTGCAAACATGATTTAGAACAGTGACACCTGGTTATACGTGTTCCATGTCAAAATCCACCACAACCATAAGGTTGAGCGCATGAGAGAAGTAACATCAAGAGCGTGTTGCGTGGTTGCTTGAGAACATCGAGGGCGTAGCATCAAGAGCGTGTGCCATGCTGCTTGAGATAGTTAAGCGCGTAGCACCAAGAGCCTGCAAGTTGCTTGAGAAATTTGGGATTGAGGGCCCGAAAGGGTTAGCACCAAGAGCGTGTTGTAAGTTGCAGGAGAAAGTTGAAAGTGTGGGATCAAGAGTGTGTTGCCAGTCGCCTGAGAAGTTCAAAGAGTAGCAGGAAGAGTGCGTTGCAAGTTGCTTGAAAAGGTTCAGCGCATAGCATCAAGAGCATGTTGCAAAGCTGCCTGGGAAAGAAAAGAGCATAGCACCAGGCACCATGCAGGAGCGTGTCGCAAGTTGTTCGAAAAAGTTAAGAAGCTCAAAACAATTACAGTAATTCCATCAAAAACACAGGAAACAGGTGGCCGGCTGGCGGGTGGCCGGATGGCCGGGTGTGGCCGTGTGGCCGTGTGGCCGTGTGGCCGTGTGGCCATGTGGCCATGTGGCCGTGTGGCCGTGGTCGTGTGGCCGTGGTCGGGTGGCCGTGGCCGTGGCCGTGGCCGTGGCCGCGTGGCCGCGTGGCCGCGTGGCCGGGTGGCCGGGTGGCCGTGGTCGTGGTCGTGGCCGTGGCCGGGTGGCCGGGTGGCCGGGTGGCCGGGTGGCCGGGTGGCCGGGTGCCGGTGGCCGCGTGGCCGCGTGGCCGGGTGGCCGGGTGGCCGTGGTCGTGGTCGTGGCCGTGGCCGGGTGGCCGGGTGGCCGGGTGGCCGGGTGGCCGGGTGGCTGTGGCCGTGGCCGTGGCCGGGCCGTGGCCGTGGCCGGGATGGCCGGCAACTAAAAAAAGCTATTGTGAAGGCTCCAATAACTGGGTTTTTCGACCTGATGATCTTATCTCCCAGGTATCAACCATCTTCGTTGCAAAAAATGCTTTTCTTAACATCCACAGTTGAACTCTTCATGCTTCATATGCTAAAAATGCTTCAAGGTGTTTCAAGGTTCCGAATTTTCCTTCCTCTTCCCACCTTCCAGACAGCTCTGGGACGACCAATGATCTCAGGGAAAATGTATTTGGGCGTCTCTTCAGTGGAATATCCCACCTGGCTTTGTCGCTGCGCTGAGAATTACAAGCAAAACAAGAAAAAACTTCAGTCGTGCGAACAAGTCGGTTTGAGCTGCAAAAAACAGATGCCACATTAACATAAACATTCACCATAGATATGAGTTTGTCTGAAAATGTTGGGTTAATCTTCCCAATTAATTATAGCCATTTAAAAACGAGATTGTCTGATCAGCAAAACCATTGGGTACATAGGGGTACACGACATTTTCAGACAACTATTAAATCCCATTAAAACCCATTAAACCACCATTTTCCTATGGTTTTTAACCACCATTTTCAGACACACCCATATGGAAATCCCCTTGGTTTCCTCTCGGAAAATGATCTGTGATGCCGGGGATGACCGGGTATGTGACGAAGTGGACAAAAAGGATAACCGACATTTGGAGTAAGTACCCTTAAACTATGTGGTTAAGATAAACCATGTGGTTAAAAACCAAATTACTATGGTTTGATCTTAGTGGGGTACACTTAGTAATAGTGTGGTTATATAAAACAATAATAAACCATTCCCAAATTCACCATTTTGATGGGTGGTATAAACCAGCAAAAATGGAGGGGTTTTCTATTGTTTTAACCACATTACATGGTAATAAAACATAGTAATAATCTATAGTACCAGTTCGTTATATAATGTAGTTTATGGTAGTAAGACATAGTAATACATGACCTGGTTATGACAAAAATACTCCTTTAACTACAATGAACATAAACCACCATGGTTCTTTATACTGGTTAATACAAAATAAATATTCCGACAACGACATCTGCTAATGATGGTTAATCTGATTTCCCAGTGAAACTGGATGATGATGATCCCCAATAAGTCAAGGGCAGTATAACGCCTGCAATTTTGTGTTAATGTGGCTACAACAATGTCATGTTTACCACCATTTTTTCCTGGGAATGGTAAGTTTGTACCACCTATAAAAATAGTGACTGGGGGATTGTGCGGATGGCATTGTTTTTTTAACAACATTAGTTAGATCTACCATAAACCCTAGTTAAGCAACTCATAGCTCAACTGAACGCTATTGTTTTACCTAGTTTAATTAACCACTGTAATCAATCATTAGCCAACATGGCTTCCGAACATTCCGCCGTCGGAAGGATCAACGTATATCACGTCTTTCCAAACAACTTTTGACGAGACGTGGTAAAACAATGAAAAATAAACATTAAGAAAACACAAACATGGGGTAAAACCATGAACAAAAACAATGAAATGAACCCATTTCACTGCTTGGAAGTTTCAAACCTCAAAAACCTACGAAATGTCACTGGTTCTTCTGCATATTGGGATGATACTCCCGCACCGTCTTTGGATGTGCCACAGCTATGCCATAGCTAAAATGTGGGGCTTTCCATGGGGGTACCCCCAAATCATCAATTTTTTGGGTAGATGTTCACTTAAAAAGCATCCAGCTATTGGGGTACCGTTTTCAGGAAAGCCCCATGTTATAATGCTCGTGTGTTCAGACTCTTGAAGAAAGAAACCAACACCAAGGACCTTTTCGAGGTATCTGAAAACTACTGAGAACCAATCCTGACTACTTCTTGGGGCGCAGTTGGAGCTATAACTCGGCCTCATAGGGCAGAATTAATCAGGACTATAATCGTTATAGGTAAAGTACAGTTGTGGCCCTTTACCATTTATAAGTCAGTTATAACTCCATTTATGGAGTTAGAACCACATTTATAACCCATTTATTACTAATATTTCGGGCCTTAAGTGCAAGAGATCTGCCAACGACCACCGTGGTTCTCTACATGCCACTGGAATCCTAGCACCATGGGAGTATCACAGCAGCTTGGGGGGTTCCCAGCCAAGGGGGGCCCTTTAAATTCCACGAAGGTATGGTGAATATACCATCACCATCCATCAACAATACATGTTTTTTATCAGTGAATAACACTGCATGTAATCCATCAACATCCACAATACCAATCATTAATTACAGCCATGTGGTGTTTTTGATTCTTTTCGGGCTTTTACTCACTTCAATGGGAATTCCAGGATCCTAAAATGGAGGTACTGTACGATACAATATAAGGCCATATTTTGTGGGGATATTCCCTTACATAGCCCTGAACCATAGGCCTTGTATATGGTAGGTACCTCCAATCAATCGGTTCCTGAAATGGCCATTGATAACTCTTTTTTCGTTATGAGTGAACAGCTACCATCAATGTGTCAACCAGTCATGGGATGACCAGCGGCTACAACTTCTTTGATCGTTGAAGCAGGGATGGAGATTTTTACGGAGACCCAAATGGGTCTGTCCCTCTGGTAAACATATAAAAAACTATGGAAAACCACCATTTTTAATGGGTAAATCAACTATTTCTATGCTCATTTTCAATTTCGCAAACTGTTAGTTTACCAGAGGGTAAATGGCGTATCCACTATATCCACTAGTTTTTCTTGTCTCATCGTCCTCAGTGGCCATTTTCACGAGTTAATCCCTCAACTTCAGAGAAGCGTTGGGTGACTTTGGGCGACTTCACGGATTCCCAGCCGTCCCAGCCTTACAAAGTCCTGAGCCATTGTCAATGATGATGACGGTGTCCTGCACTGAAATACTGACTTTTAGACTGCGGTAGCCCTCCCAAAAAATGGAAAAATACAAAAAAAATACCATGGTGACCACTGGCTTGGTGGAATTTGTCTCTATCTTTTCGGGAGCTGCTATGAATTTCAAAGAAACAACAACAAAACACAACATTTAAATTGAAACTTCTTGATTGGAAGGGGCCCCTCCGATAAAGAGCTCCCTTGTTTGCTGGAAAATCCTCCATTTTGCGTTCCCAGTCAAACAAAACCTGCATGGGCGCCAGGAGCAGCGCAAGTGCAGGGCTTAAACCGTATTGCTGCAGTATTATGGCCCGAAATACCATTTATAAGCCAGGAGTTGTCACCCCATTTATGGAATGATTTCCCGGTAGAAATAACCATCTATAACATTCTATAACCATGATACCCTCTGGTAAACTCACATAACTATGGAAAATCACCATGCTATCAATGGGTAAATCCACTATTTCTATGGTCATTTTCAAGTTCGCAAACTGTGAACGTTTACCAGAGGGTAACCATGATAACTGGTAAAGAGCTTTAACAGTTAACATCTTTTGACCATGTTTCATTGAGCTCCAGGTCGTCTCAAACCAGGTCGCTGCTCAAGGATTCTTTTAGTGCCGACAGTGACACACCTGCGGAGCCCAGCGAGCCGATGATTGCGCCATGGTGCCGCGATGTCTTGACATGTCGGACCTGGTGTCATGGCGTCATGGAGCGAATCCCGCTGTGACCTGAGCTCTTGGAAGGTCTGTCGACACTCCCGTCGTGATGAGTTGATTGCTAGCCACTGTCAGACCCGAAATGTCCCGACGTGGTGTTGGGATTGAATTCATGACAGCCCAGTCATCAGATGCAAAGTGAGAGCAGCTGATGGTCTTTCCATGGTCTGCTTCACTTGAGCCTGTACCTCTTGCATTTCACTGTCGCTGAGTTTTGCAACCACATAGCTATTGAAAATGGTGATTTATAGTGGATTTACCCACAAAAAATGGTGATTTTCCATAGTTATGTTAGTTTACCAGAGGGTATGTAGCCTGCAAAGAACTGAGCTCACAACTGGTCACTCCACCCTCTGGTAAATTGACAGTTCGACCCTGGCAGTTGTCGGGGTTGGAAGATTAGTTTCCATTTAAAATTGGCGATTCTCAGGGTCTATGTTAATTTACCAGAGGGTAACTATCATGGCTTCTAGGATCGAAACAATGGGTTTAAGAAGTTTGAGTAAAGCCCGCGCTTTACGGTGGGTGGCGGAAGTTTCCAGCGGACAAACATGTCATACTAAGTTACCAAAAACCTAACATAAATCAGTCCAATAAAAATACATCCACTAAAGTGTGCCATAACTGAACATGACTTGAGCATTTGAGCCAAGGTAAAGCCTTTTGTAGGTCCTCCACTTCAATCACTTCCTCCTCTTCCTCTTCACCTGCTGAGCAAAACTATGGAGATTTTACCAGCATTGTGATGTATGGACAATGATGGATAGAATCTGGTAATACAAAAAACTATGGAAAATCACCATGCTATTAATGGGAAAATCAACTATTCCTATGGCCATTTTCAATAGCTATGTTAGTTTACGAGAGGGTAGAATCTGTTTATCAGGATGGACCATGGACGAATGGATACTAATGATGATTAGTCAATAATGGATGGATCATGTGACTTTGCCTGAAACAAGTGTAATTGAAAGTCCAGTCATTGATCAGTATAATACATGGGTTAGTGAAAGTCGGAATAAAACATCACCCAACTATTCGGGATATAATCCCAAAAAGGGACACCAACCTCTGCAATTGTCCCTATCAGTCACAGCTGTATGGAACATCGAGGGGATGATCGATTGTCAGTTGCTTTTCCATACTGGTTGGTGGTTGACCTACCCCTCTGAAAAATGATGGAGTTCGTCAGTTGGGATGATGAAATTCCCAACTGAATGGAAAGTCTAATCAAATTCCATGGTTCCAGTCACCACCAACCAGTAAAATGATATAAAATCAATCGTATTCACCTATATAAATAACTATGGTTTGAGTGGTTATATCTCTGGGTGATAACCCATTAAATGATATAAAATCCTATTCAATCCATGATTCGTTTGGATTTGGCATGGGACCCAATGGGATGACTTGGAAAAAACCCTTGGAATTTTTCTCTGAAAAGAGGCGACCAAAAAAATGGAATCCATGTTTTTTTCCCTAGTAAACCTAGTAAATTGTAATTTTATGGGGTCCCATGTTCAGAAAAATCAGGATTGAAACTTTGTCCCTTTGTCCCATACCAGCATCATGAAGTATGGCCACCCCATTTTCGGCGAAGGTCCAGAAATCCCAGCCGTGCTGCCAGCATGAAATCATTGATGCTAGACATACATATATATATATATATTATATTTAAACATATACATATCTATGTATATATATATATGAATATACATATGTACATATGATAAATATATATATATATATATACATATTGAAATCCACTTCTATTCTGGTGCTCACTTCCAAAGAAGCCTTCATGGAGATTCAGCTGATCTGCTACACACAGGTGACTCCAAGAAAACATATTGTTAGTAAATCCTTACCCCTCTGGTTGTTTAAGGTAACTATGAGAAGGTAAATATCATCTATAAATAGATCGATAGGCCATCTTTTTTTGATAATAGGTAGATAGGTAAATGATATAAATAGGTGAATATCATCTTTATCATCTATGGCTTTCAAAACTATCATCTATACATGGGCCACTTTCTTTTGCATATGTTAAAGAACCCGATGAATCCCGATGGTAGTGGCTGGATGTGGCTGGTGGTTAAGATGCCCCTTGATAAGTCATTTTTTTGGAGTCCGCAGCGGCTGCTCCAAGATGAAGATTTAGAGGAAACCATGGATTTTCCCCTGATTCATAGGGGGTCTTCCTGTAATTTTTTCCTGGACACCAATCCATTGATCTAAAAAGTTTGGTGACCTCCCACTTGTTCATGGCTTTTCGAGGATGGTCCCATATACCAGTAACATTCGCGTTTTGTGGGTTTGTCTGAAAATCGGGACCCCAAAAATTTGACTCTTCATCTTTTTTTCGCTACCAAAATGACCATTTAAGCATTTTTCCAGGGGTTATACTATAGTTATGTTATATTTTTTTCATATAGTTATGTTTTCTAAGGATTTCTAACGTATATGTTATATTTTGTTCCTCACATAAATGTGTTTTTTCGTGGGATTGTTCTCCATGTCCCACAGGTTTTTGGTCCAAATCGCACCTTCTTGCCAAGCTTCCTGGGACATGGAGGGGTTGACAGCAATTTCTTAGTCTCACTAGTTGGTGAATAGGGATTCCTACAGTTCATGGATTATACAAATCCCCATTATATAAATTATACTATATATATAATAGTATATATATATATATATTATACTATATATATTATATATATGTATATATTCTTATATACCATATTATATATTATATAGTATTTTGGTCAATCTTAAATACTGCACAAAATAATTTTGCTGGCTGCGGCTGGGCCAATAGATATCCCTTGATACGAGATTTATCGCCAATCTTAGATACCCCCCAAAGGGACGACCATTTCCATCCGAGGGTGCCCTAGTTACAACCACTAGTCAATGGAGATTCCCATACTTCAATGGGAATTTCAGGATCCTAGAATGGAGGTATGTAAACGTACAATATTTTGGGCCATATTTTGTGGGGAGATTCCCTGAAACATAGCCCTGAAATATAGGCCAACAATATATGCTAGGTACTTCCAATTTAGGTTCCTGAGATGGCCAGTGAATACTGGATGATGATTATGACAATCCCTCGTATATGAATGTTAGTCTGCTAGCGTAGCCCCCCAAGAACCATCAAACCGATGGCGACGTGGATGGCGACCTGAACTTCTGGCATCACTCTGCGGGATTCAGTAATGGATCTGTTCTGAGGTCAATTGTATTGATTCATATGTATACATTTTACACTTTTATCCACAATTATTGATAGATATATACATATATATACACATATAATCATGTATATTATATATATACATATCCCTATAATTTGGGGATTGTCACCGTATGATTTGGGGGATTGTATGGATTTCAGTAGTCAAATTACAATAATGATTCCTACAGCTGAACCTGCAGGCTATACAACATGAATGTGATGTCACGGCTGTTTCAGCTGTCATGTTGTGTTCACATCTCTGGTGCCGGTGCTGGGGCTCGACTCCAAGCCTTGCCCTGCGACTAGATCGATAAAACAACACAAGGATCAGGAAACCGCGCGTTTTAGCTACTAAAACAATGTCATAAGCCACCCATTTTCCTGGGAATGGTAAGTTTATACCACCTATAAAAATGGTGATGACTGGGGGATGGTTTATGAAATTGTTTTAACCACATTTCTAAACCATCCAGCTCAGTGCCCAGTAAAAAACCCATCGACAAGTCAACAAAGGCTCCGATGCCTAAAGCTCATGACTCATGCCTGTTCTCTGATACCTTGTCGCAAAATTGGGTGGGATACGGATTGTCTAAAAATAAGGCACCCCTAAAAATCCCCTGGTTCTTTACCCTCATTAATAACAATTAGCAAAAATTGTATAATTCACCCATTTTCGGAGAAAACCAGAGACCCTCCGGTATTCAGAATATGGCGTGATGGAAAATCTACCATTTAGTTCATTTATTTCGATGATTTTCAAAGCTATAAAGTTCCTTTTAGCGCGGGGATTTCCCAGCTAGCCACGTTTGATGACACTGATGACACCAAAGGGCATTAATTGGTCGATTCATCCGTTTTCTCGCTACCTTCGAAGGTTGCAGAGATATCCTGCACTCTTTGTCTGAAAATCGGCTATCCCCGGCTATCCCATTCCATCCTGTCAGATGTTGAGACGTTGTCATTAAAAGTGTTTTGCTGGGGCATTCTTAAGAGCTAGCTTTATTCCTCGTAAGTTCATCGCATAAGCCCCTCCAGTCCCTCCAAAGTATACGTTGGACAAGCGCAGAGTAACTTCATTGCCCAGTTGTATCCCCACTTTGTCTATTTTGGGTGATGAAATTGTCCCGTTTATTTCATCCCAATTGCATCAAAATTATGCATTAGATATCCCAATCTATAAAGAATATCATATTCTATTGAATCACAGTAAATCTGGGTAATTTATCGTTTGTAAAACCAATTTGGGATAGTTACCCCAACAACTAAACATCATCTTTGGTGAGCTTGGCACGAACGCCCAGATGAAGCTATCGTATCCTCACTGGCTTCAATTGGGGAACCCATCTAGCATCATCTAGCTATGTACATATCCATCTGTGTACCGTTCTATCCATCTATCTATTTATCAATCTATTTATCTATCTAGCTATCTGGCTATCTACCTACCTATTTATCTGGGTAAATTATAATATTTCACTAACCTGAATTAAGGCCTTTTGGGGATGATTTCCCTTATTAACTATGATTCCCAGTGAGGTCGCAGTGAGGTCGTTATAATTTACCCAGATACTTATACATCATGATATTTAGATGGGGTTATAAACCAACTTATAACTGGGAGGCACCATCCTGTACCCTCCAGTAAACTAACAGTTTGCCAGGGTTCATGGGGGCCCCATGGTTGTTATCCGAATTTCGTCCATGACAAAAAGATTGAAACCCCAGCAACGACCCAGTCGCACCTCCCAGGGATCGTTCCACACCTCGTTCGAAATGCGCCCAGTTTTGATGGTGAAAAATCCCATCAAAACTGGTCAGTGGTCAGCTCGGAACATATATGGATTACCCTCTGGTAATTTAACATAACTATGGAAAATCACAATTTTTAATGGGAAAACTCACTATAAATGGCCATTTTCAATAGCTATGTTAGTTTACCAGAGGGTAGTGAAAATGGACAAAAATATAAGAACTTTTTGATTCACCAAGCAACTATTATAGAAATTTCAGATAGCAGTAAAAAAAATCAGAGAAGCCAATCATGTCCCAACGAAATGATGCCACATTTTGGGGCCTTTTGTGACTCGTGTTTTCTGTAACCCCCTTATATGTCTTATTACGGGCTTGTTATCCTCTGGTAAACATACAAAAACTATGGAAAGATCCACCACTTTTCATGGGAAAATCCACTATTTCTATGGTCATGTTCAAGTTCGCAAACTGTTAGTTTACCAGAGGGTAAGGTGTGTTGTTTAGGGAAGGGGAACCATTGGGGGTTCCTTCGGTTACCACGATCAATCAAGTGGTTGCTGCTGAAAGAGCCCAAGTATGCCCGGGTACAGTAGGACTGGACATGAAGAAACGTTTGAACCCACCAAGGAAATTAACGGCGGATACTAAGTGCAAACGCATTTTTTTTGGCAAAATAGTACCCGCTGGTAATTTAACATAGCTATTAACAATGGCCCATTTACAGTTGATTTACCTATTAAAACATGGTGATTTTCCAGTTCGTTTTTTTGTATGTTTGCCAGAGGGTATAGGATATGAACCCCCGTTCATGGCACAAAACATCCCCGCAAACATTGGGTTTGTCTGAAAATAGGGTATATTCCCAATTATAGCCATTTCATAGGGATAATGATCATTAACCATTGGGTTTAGGGGTACACTATATTTTCAGACACACCCATTGATTCACGGATTCACCTGATTGCTCGCCCTCCCAAAAGGAGGGGTGTCACGCGTATGATAAATTCGCCATGGGAAAATGATACCCCCATTCCACCTCATGACGGTTGATGATATGGTCAATGTGAATATGTTTATTGTATATACCATCTGGTATATAATGGTTTATAGCTATAGTTAATGGTTTATGATGGTTTATAATGGTATATAACTACAATGGTTTATAACTATAGTTCATCTGGTATATATATATATATTACCATCTGGTTATGACTAACATAGCCATGGAAAATCAGCATTTTTAATAGGTAAACACCATCTATTTCAATGGGCAATTTTCCATGGCTATGTTAAATTACCAGAGGGTATATATATAATATATATATATATGGAGGTTTCCTAAAATAGAGGTACCCCAAATACGGATGATTTTTTAAATGGACAATCCCATTCAGAAAAATAGGGATGACTAATAGGGGTAGCCCTACTTCGGTAATCCCCAGGAAATTGGACAATCATCACGCCACATATTTTGGGGCCGTGATTCATCAAAATGCCACAGATTTGTTAAACGCCAGGTCTGAAACCCGAATTTCGGATGAAACCCTGGCAGGAGAAGGATTCAATCAACCATCAACTAGCCATTTATCAATGATTTCACTATTTTTTAGGTTTGAAACCCAAGGTTCATGGTGAAATCACTCAGAGTCACCCAGGATTTATACTTGGGCTAACATAAAATTCTAGAACATCAGCCCTGTGTAAGGATGATTTTCCATGTCTAAAAAAAGGTTGTCACAGGTTTTCCAGATCTCAGTTTTGCCCAGGAATTACCACCCGAAAAAAACAACTCAGCCAGCAGACCCGGTTCCGCACCTCAGGCTCAGCGCTTTCCTCTGCCATGGCACAGTTTTTTGGCGCGACGCGTGCAACGCGCGTTGCAAGCACGAATCGATGGGGTGATTTTCACCCGGTTTTTCGGGGCATGGAGGGATAGCCTGGTGCTTGGGGGTGCAGTTGGGATTATGACCACGGTAAACTTCATAAGTTGGGGATATAACCATCTAATTGACTAAGGCTATGACATATCCACTTAAAACTGCACTTCCAAGTAGGACATTGCTAATGAAAAATAGCAAACAAAACATAAAGACATGATTTGAAGTATACAGCAATTTGTAGCTGCTTGTCCGAATCTACTATTCTCTGTGGTTGATCGAACATTTGGGGATGCACCTGGGTCTTTTTGTTGAGGCTTCAAGGCCCAAGCAAATGAGTTCCAGGTCACATGTGGCTTAGAAAACCAAATATCGGACTTTTGTATGAAGTGATACAATTTGAACAAAAATCCTTAGCTAAACCACCTTAGAGTACTGTATTTTGACTCGTGTTTTGATCTTCTCTGGACATACGGGATTTTCCGAGACCCTGTGAGGGCTGATCTCTTAAGCCATCTTGAGCCTGTGCCGCACGGTCCAAACATCCCTGTTCCACGGCTCATCTTAGCTGCAAACCTTTCCAAATGGCGGGATTCTTTGAACTTTGCACCAAAAAATAATCTAGAAATCCACTAACCCACCATTTAGCATGATTGCCAGTGCTCCAGCTGTTGTTTTAGGTCAGACGTTTTTCTTCCCCCACCTGCCAGGTGAAGGTCTCAGCCGGGTGCTCCGCCTGATGTCAGCCTTGTTCCGAGCCATGCGGCGAGTCCCGCTGTGGAGCACGCCTGGACCCGAACTCCATATGGCCAGATAGAATGCCAGATAGATTGCTAGAAAGACAGCTAGATAGAATGTCAGAATAGATGCCAGATAGAATGCCAGAACATATGTCAAATAGAATGCAAGAATATAAACCATTCCCAAATTCACCATAAATGGGTGGTATAAACCATCAAACATAGAGGGTTTACATGGGTGTTCTGCCAAGAACTTGGGATCAACGTCTGATAACCAACATGTTTCAGCGCAGAAGGACACCACATCTGTGGTGCCCTCCCGGAGTCGATATGTTTCACTCTTTGCTAAGAAAAAGTACAAGATCTTGGGTGATTGCAACTATACCTGGCTGGTGGTATACCTACCCCTCTGAAAAATGATGGACTTCGTCAGTTGGGATGATAAGAAGTTGGGATGATGAAATTCCCAATATATGGAAAGTCGTAAAATCATGTTCCAAACCACCAACCAGATACAATGTTATACAGTAGTGACTCTTGTATAATATTATATAGTTACAATCACCCGAGATGTTGTGTCTAAATGAAGTTTCTTACAACCGGGGGGGGGCGCCACACCAAGGATTTTCCCTTCAAACACAGCAACTTCCGTATGATCTTTGGGGTCTTATAATGTCTTAGAGAAGCCCCCGCTCTTGGATATAGAAAATGGCTCATATCATTGGTTGACCAATGGCCCCCCCCCAGTTACCACCGGCCGGTAATTTGACATAGCGAGCTAGAACATCCACACTTTTTGAGATAAAAAGGGATTCTCATCGAACTAAATGAGTCTACCCTCTGGTAATTTAACAGTTTGCTATTGAAAATGGCCCATTTATAGTTGATTTACCTATTAAAGACGGTGATTTTCTATAGCTATGTTAGTTTACCAGAGGGTAAATGGCTGGTTTTCCAGCGGTGCAAATTACTGGAAGGTTTTTGGGGAAGTTTCAAGTGGCACGTCAGATGCACATCCCCCCATTTCTCCCAGATTCTGTTCGATGTCATCTCCCGGGATGAATATCCAGCAGGGCTACAGCAACGCGTGATGTCTTTCCCAAGATTTTTTTATTGCATCGTATAGATGAGCGACCTCCGATTCGAACCATGTCGTGTGAGCACCTGATAACTGTAAGGCGGTTTGGCTAGACATACTTCCCGGAAATTCTCATTTGATGCGGTAAAGCCAAAAATAAACACTCCCCAAAATCACCATACATAGATGATCGTTATAAAACCTCCCTAAATGGTAGGTTCATAGGTTGTCAGTTGCTCGCGGATTGGCAGGACTTGTCATATCTAGACTCAGTCGGTGTGCCACGACAGCTGACACAACGGACGACCATCCATCAGCAATAGATACTGAGAGGTCGCGAGTTGGGTTAGAACAAAATGGGGTACCATGCTACAGGATGGGCCCCCCAGTTTTAAGTTGGTTTATAAATCATTATAAATTATAACCCCCTTTAACTAGTTGGTCAAATCTACCATTTTTACCATAGTTTTTTCAGCCGCTGAAATGTTAGGCGTTTCTGAACGCCTTCGCTCGACTGGGGGGTGTTTCATCCTGTACCAATGGTCCAATAACAGTTATTCAGAAATGTGGATTTGGATGACTTCATTGCCAATCTTAGATACCCTGCAAAAAAATAAATTCTTTGCTGGTTAGTAGATATTCCCATTGATACCAAAAGACTAAAGGATTAGTTTGTATCCATCTAAGATTGCCCTAGACTTTAGGACACAATTTTGGGTGGCGCATCTAGGGAGGATCATCCTATAGTCCTCGTAACATTCGTGACTGGGTGGCTAGTTCAGCCATTGGATAAGCTACGAATCGGGGACTTACTCGCCAGGGCTACCAGTTACGATTCGGAGGATGACTGGTTGGTAACCATACCCATATGCGAACCATGGTGCTGCAATATTTGCCAACATTTACCCCATAAATCACCCAAATGTAGGTAAATATACCATACATGGATTGGGGATAGTTACAAGTGTCGGAAAAAACACAGTTCTGTGGGTCTGATTTTTGCCAATCTCAATGGATTTGTCTTAAATAGATTGCCTCATAGTTTCATCTAGTTTCACGATTGATTATCATGTTAGAATCATGTTCAACATTGAAGTGTTATGACTGTTATGGCAATTTCTGGGGGCCGAACCACTCATTTTGGTCAAACAAACAGATCAATTTTCTTCATCGGTTGAATCCCTATTCTTCATACTGAGTCATACCTATAGTGATTGTTGATGATTTAATCTGCAAAACTTGGCAGCTGAAAAAACCAGCAATCTGGTAATGTCCACATCAGGAGGTTTTAACTGTCAGTGGCGCACCAACCTCTTCAACAAATAGATTGGCAATCGACTGATATTACCAATCTTCGATTCGGGGGGCTTTGGAACATGTAGACTGAGACAAATGCAAGCTCTCCCAAGTAGAGAGCGCGACCCAGCATTTTTTTCAGCAGATGCATCTACTTGGATGATTATGCTGGTTTTATTCCCATTTGGGTACGGGGATAGAAGAGAACGCTACTCCACAAAATTGGATGATAGAATATGATAGAATGACCCATTCATCGTCGGGCCCATTTTGACAAACAAGGGGGTTTCCATAAATGGGGGTACCCCAATAGCTGGGTGGGTTGGAATGGAAAATCCATCTATAAATGGATGATTTAGGGGTAACCCCATTTATGGAAATCCAAACATGGCTTCAACCAGCATTTCAACCAATTTCAAACCACTGATTCTCATCTCATTGCCAATTCATCTCCCATCCTCAGCTTTACACGACCTATTTTTTTCTTATGAAAAGTCCATTTCGTGCATATCTCAAGGGCCTCAATCGGCAATCTCTGGGGGTTTCCTGTTCAATCTAGGGCCTCAGCACACCCATGTGCACTTCGATTCCATAGCTCCGAGACTGGTTGGTTGAGAGCGCTATCCCGTGAATGCAAAATTGGTTGGTTCATAATCCCTTATAAAACTAGGTAAGTCAATAACAACCAGTTCATAACATTTCATAGCCAATCAACCATCATTTCTCAATGATTTGCTCATATTTCAATGCTTAAAAGCCAACATTAGTGCTTAAATCACCATGAAATCACTCCAAATCAGTTGGCTCTTCATGATCTCCATGGCACATCTGCTGGATCTGCCAGGTCTTTAAAAAGAAACATCCATCATCCGGTCTCAGAAAATCAATGGGAGATCTTCAGGATCCAACGACATGGAGGTACGTCTTTATTTTGGGGCATAGAAATTGGGGGGATATCCCCTGAAATTTAGCCATGAAACATAGGCCAAAAATATATGCTAGGTACCTCCAATTTGGGTTCCTGTTGCATGGCCATTGATTTAATGGAATTTTCTGCCAACGCAGGGACAGAATCAGAGCTGGAAACCATGCCTGTTTGCAGAGTTTCTTCCTGTTTCGTGGATCTAAAAAGTTCCAAGACCATATTTCTCAACGAAGCGCTAGCTCAAAATTCAACGAATCCTCAAAAAATCGTAGACCTACTAGTCCTCATTCACAAAGCCACCAATTGTCAAGCAAGTAAAGGCCAATCATTTTATACCGAACTATTCGCCGATCCACTCGTTGAGCTTGGCAGAAAGGCGATAGAAAGAGACCCGCTGATGGGACCCCCATTCCCATACTCTCATACTCCATAAGAAAACCTGAGGGTCTCTGTAGATTCCATGGACGAATTGTTCTGGTAGAATCCAGCAGAATCCTGCTGGTAACCGAATCAAACATGAGTTGGTGCCCCAGTTTGGTAGGTAATTGGTTTAGAACCTACAATAACTAGGGATCTATAGGGGGTAGATAGATAGATAGATAGATAGATCGATCGATCATTAGATTAGATTAGATTAGATTAGATTAGATTAGATTTAGATTTAGATTAGATTAGATTAGATTAGATAGATAATTCGATAGATTAGATAGATTAGATAGATAGATAGATAGATAGATAGATAGATAGATAGATAGATAGATAGATATAGATAGATATAGATAGATAGATAGATAGATATAGATAGATAGATAGATAGATGGATGGATGGATAGATAGATAGATAGACAGACAGATAGATAGATAGATAGATAGATAGATAGATAGATAGCATATATATATATATATAGCATATGGCATATATAATCATATTATATATATATATAGTTAATAGGAGTTATAGCCCAACTTGCAACTCGCGGGGCAGCGG